TTGTTTGTGGTTTTTGGGTTTTCTGGCTTTAGGATTGAACATAGTTTCCAAATCATGTTGTTTTTGGTTTTCTGGCTTTATATAAGACTGGGCATAGTTTGAAGAACTTTGTTTTTTTGTTTTCTGGCTTTAGGATTGGGCATAGTTTCCAGATCATTGTTTTTTTGTTTTGGGTTTCTGGCTTTATGTTGCAGACAACTGGTTTTCAGTCACGACAAAATTCGTGCGGTAGCAACTTCTCGATCTGTGCGTGTATGACTCTCATTGTATACGTTAATGGTACTCCCAGGGACCCCTAATCAGCGATGATCGAGTGATATCGATGGATCGGGCGCTCGAATGCTTCTTTTGGGCCACTATGCTGTGGGAAATTCGATCACTCCTCCTCTGTCGCGGACGGTGTTCGTCCAAGACAGGATGGTAGCGGAGTCTGGCAGTTAGAAGATGGTCTTCTGTAGTTCACTAGGTTCATGCTGTTCGAAGTTCATGGTTCCCATGTGTCTCGAAATGGTCTTGCTATCACTAGACTTGGTTAAGATGTCGCTGCAGTTGGAGTGTGTTCCGATCTTCTTTACCACCAGCTCGTGCCGCGCAACGCACTGCTGCAGCCAAAGGAATCTGACCTGCACGTGTCGTTGCTTGCCTAAACCCTGGCGCGAAGCAAAGCTTTTCGCGCTGCTCGAATCGCTCTCGAGCACAATGCCCAACTCGATGCCGATGTCCAGGAAGTAGGACTGCGTTCCAAGACCATGTGCAGCTCCGTGCGTCAAGGCATAGAACTCTGCCTCTGAAACATTCAAGCCAAGCACGCTCTGCAAATTGCTTGTTGCTTTCAAAACATGCCGACCGAAGAACTGCACCATTCCGGTTGTTGACCGTCTGCCAACCTTGTCACCAGCGAAATCGCTGTCCACTGAAATCCTGATGTAGTCCGGCATCTTCTGTTGATGATACACCAAGCTGACGTTGGGGAACTGGATCAAGTAGCGAGCAAGCCTCTTGAGCATCTCCCAATGTGCCAACCTGGGCTTAGCCATGCCCTGCGCCAATCGCTTCACAGCTTCAGCGATGTCAGCACGCTCCTGGGATAAAAAGCTCGCACGCATCACTCCCGACCTGTATCGGGATGCATCCTTCGGACTCAACTCTGCCGAAGTCTCCAATGCCCCTGCTTGTGCATCTGTAGGCTTAATGGATGGCGTGGACACTCCAGCTGACCTTATGCTCAGGCCCACACCTTGAACAATCAACTCAACATGCCGCTTGTCGGGTTCGATGCGGACCCAGCGGCGACCATCTGTGGTGCCCAACCGCACAACTCTGTTCAACACTGTTGCTTCCTGCACGCAACCTGTTGTAAAACCCAAGCGATGACTCTCTCTCATCTGATACTTGGACCCGAGAAGCTCCTTCACTTTGTCAACTGCTTCAACCGGTCCAAGAACATAAAAATCATCACCATGGACTGCTCCTCGTGAACACTCTTCTGCATTGTAAAACAACGCCGGGTTTGCTGCTCCAACCCGATAGCCACCTCCACGAAGAAGCTCTTGCCAGTCCAACATCCACGCATGGCTTGCATCTCTGAAACCATACATGCCTCTGTTCAACCGACCGACAATGTCACCTTCTTCCGGCTTCTTGTCCTCCTCAGGGATCTCGACGTAGAGCTCACGCAGAACCTTGGGCATGAAGTGTGCCCTGGAAATGTCAAACACTCCCATGACCAACTCCTTGTCCTGCTTCTCAAAGTCGGTGACCAGCAATGAAAACAATGCTTTCACCATCTCCCATGGAGGTGTAGCCGAAAACAACTCATGAGCTAGAAGCGCCTCCTTTGTCTTCGCCTTCAGCTCCTTGCCAACAATCCTCGACCTCACCTTGTAGTGAGCTTTGTCTCCTTTGTTGACATCCACCCACCGAACTGGTAGGATTGGTTTGCCACTTGCAACTGCCTGACTTCTTGGCACTTTGTCGTACAGGCCGATCTTGTGAATCCATCCGATCTCCTCTGCACGCGCCTCCTGAACCAACTTCGGTGGCAGCTGTTCGCCTGAAATGTCATCATAAAACTGTTCAACCTCCTCTTGAAACTCCTCAGGGAACAACGGCTCTGTAGGATCAGGACCACTTGAGTATGCCTGAATCGAATTCAAACAACCATCAACCATCATCTGGTTCTTGATGCCCTGGAGGACCGTGTACACAAGCTCGTCCGGGTACTTGGCACAAAGATGACCCAATCCACCAATGAGCGAAATGTGACGATGGCAAAGGTCCACCAGTCCTGTTTGTGCAATGCCTGTCCAACAACTTTGCAACCTCCTTGGAGTTGGTGACGAACTTGGTCGCTTTGTACACCAACCCTCGACCCTGCTTGGGAACTTCCAGACCCATGCCCCAAGCACACATAGGCCCGACCACAGTGAAAACTCCTGCACGCTTCTGAAGCTTCACCATTCGCGGATGATCCCATGACTTTGCTCCAACGGGGTGCTCATGGAGAAAGTACAACGCTCCTCATACAAATCAATGCTCAAGCAAAGATGTCGTTCTCCTCGCTCCAAAGCCTCTCTGTTCTTGGCATTGTCGAGGTAGTACTTGTTGAGGTTTTGCAAAACACTGAAAGGGTCACAGCGCGGACTGCCTGTGAGCATGAAAGGATCTTGCACTTCGATCAACTCCTTGAGCTGCTTCATGTGCTCCGGGATGTCTAAATCCCAACCTGTCTCAAGGTCAACAGCGAAACCAGCATTGAGCCCCAAATGCGAAGCTCCTCTCGTGAACCTTGGCGGACTGAAGATCTCCGCCACATCAACTGCGCCAAGCTCTTGCTTCTTGGCCTCAATCTTTCTCTTCAAGCAGTCGATCGACTCGACTCGCCTCCACTTCCTCTCCGACATCACCTCCTCCTCGTAGTCAAAGCCGAGGTAGGAAATGTCATGTGCTGGATCCTGCTTCTTGTGCGCTGCTGTCGAACCTGAAGCCGCTGCCGAAGACGAACCGGCTTCTCCTCTTGCAAGCACCTGTTCTATTGCGGTGTCACCTGCACCCACCGCCACAACTGGCGGTTCACTTGGAACGACAACCTCAGCCTCCTCTGCTTTGGATGCCGATGGATCGAGCTCCTCAACTGCAACCTCTGCTGCTCTCTTGTACTGCATGTGTCCGACGGACTTCCACCTCTTGCTAGGCGACTCAGGGCTAGACGGCTCACTCCGCTTTGCCCCTTCCTTCTCAAACTTCTCCTCGATCCTCACCTTCTTCTTAGGTGCTGCACTGCTCTTCTCATCTCCTTTCCTCAACCTCTCAGCCTCTGCATCTGCTCTCTTCTTGAGCTCCTCTTCCTTCTGCTCTGACCTCAAGGCGACCCTGTCTGCACGCAGCTCGACTCTGCGAGGGCCGACAAGTGCAACAATCCGACGACGGCATTCGTCGGAATGAGCCACTGGACGGGCTCCGGCCTTGACGGCCGCACAACCTTTGCAGTTGTCCGTGAAACCATGTCGTTCCACGTCGGCTTTGCGCACGTAAAAGGCTCGTGCGTCTGGTGGGAGGTCCGGCGTTGGTGGTGCCAGCCTCGCACGCCCAACTGAAGGCAACGCTGGTCGAAGATGCGTTCCTTCTCGAACACCTGTTCGTGATGCTAGATCCCAAGGGAATCCAGCCAACTCTTCAATGCCATCTGTGCTCCATCTCTGGTTGGTGGGCAGGCGCTTCACTGCCAAGCCTATCTTCAAACCTTCCGAAGAAAGCCCCATCACGGAATTGGTACGCGCATGGTGGCCAACAAAGCGAACCGGGGTTGACATCGGTTCCCAATCCAACCTGCCAGCCTTCTCCTTAGCCTCACGGATGTGAACCAGCTCTCCAAACTCAAGGGCAGGCTTGTTCCACTTCTTGCCGTAGGCTCGCTCATAGGCTGTGCTTCCAGAACTGTCCTTCCTGTATACGTTGATCGACTCTGCAGCAAAGTTCGCAATCCAGGACGTCAACGGGTGGTCATTAGGAAGGCTCATGTTCAGCTTTCTCTCAAGCGACAATCGCAAGGCCCTCATCTGCCTCTTCAACTCTCTGATTGCCACCTCAATGCTTCCATTGGCCTGATGATCTCCAACAGGCGAATTCTTGTTCACAATCTCGATGTCCGGCAGTGATGCCGAAACACTTGTCTTCAAGGCCATCAAGGCAGGTTTGTTGTCTGACATGTGCACCAGCCTCTTGTGCCCCGTCTCGGTGATGAAGCGGGCCATGCCTCTCTGTGTGAAACCACTGTTGCTCTTGTCCGGCAGTGCGAAAGCTCCCAACATGCCCGATGGTGTCGACTTCATGGCCAAAAACGGCGACGACTGCATGAAGTAAAAGTCACTGTGCACTGCGGGCCCTTCTTCCTTCTTCTCCTCCTCTGTCCTCTTGCGATGTGGCGTTCCTGTCGATCGAGCTTTGATGCACACTTCACACCAATTCCTGTAAACAGCATGGTTCTGGGCCTCATGCTCTTCAATCTCTGACTTGGTGGGGTTCCTCACCCTAGTCGGGCTCCTCACCAAGATGCCATCAACCGCCTCCGGAACATACCAGAAGTGCGTTTCCATCTTGTGCGCCATCGGCTCGAACTGCTTGTGGATCTCGTCAAAGGACATGGAGTCGTGGATCTTGTCATCGAAGATGAGCTCACCTGTCTCCTCATCATAGCTCAACCTTCTGAACACCTGGGACCATTTGGGTCCTTCAGGCCAGGTGCCTCTTGTAGTGAAACAGTTGAAGTCCTTGCGGATGGCCAAAAATGCCCCTTCAGGGATTCCAGCCGGTCTTGCCTTTGGCGTCAAGCCAACTTCAAATTCTTTGGGGTTCATGTAGTCGACGGTCTCTTCCGCCAGCGCCCAACCTCTCCATTGCGGAGACTCCTCACTCTCTTCACCTTCTTCCTCCTCATTTCTCTCTTCCATCCTCTCTGCCCTGGTCTCCTCCTTCTCCATTGGGCTCCTCATCGACCGGACTTACGGCCTCATGGCCTGCCGCTCGTTTCCCGACGAGGCGGAGTCGGAATCCAAGGTTCCCAACTCCTGCAAGTCACCACGCTGCTTGAGGTAGATGTTGTACAGATTGCCCTCCTTATAGAGCTTCAGCATGCCACGCTCACCATTGACATCAATGAGCTGCCGAAGGAAGGCTCTCATAGCTTGGGCCATGCTCGTGTTCCTGGGGATCAACCATCCTCCATCATCGAAGATGTAGGCATCGTGAGTGGCGCTGAACTCACCTGCAGATCCAGGCTTGTGGACATGGGTCACTGTTGCTTTGAACCCACGTCGATGTCCCTGCTCATCAATGCAAGGCACCCTCACTCTGCCGTACCTTGGAATCTTCTCTCCATTCGCCACCCTGTAGTCCCCAACGCGTCGAAGTTGCAAGCCCTGGGCCACGGCCATCTCGATGGGGATCACGGTGCTAACAGCTCCTGAATCGTAGTTCAACTTCAACCACTCTTCGCCCTCCACACTACAAAGATAGGTGGGCGATCCATCCTCGTGCTCGGTGTTCATGCTGTTGTGGTCAACGTCCTCATGCACCGATGCTGACCCCTGGGCTGGTCCTCCTCCTCGGGATCGACTCCTCGTTCGACTATCGTCCCCATTGCGGGTCAACCCAGGCGGAATCGATGGTGTCCAGTCAGGCGTCCTCGAAAAGTCAACTCCGACTGCACGATCTCGGCTCTGGCTCGCCCTGATGGATGGGACACCGGTGAAGACTCTCCTCCTCGGCCTCTGACTAGATGCCTCAACTGTCTCCTCCTCTGCATCCTCGCGCTCACCCTCAACAGCCTCTGAACCAGGCGCCGTTGGACCTCCTGATGCCCCTCCGACCTCTGAAAAGAGCGCATCCTCCTCTCGCTCCTCTTCTGGACCAAGCGGGGAGTAGACCTGAAAATGCTCACCTTCTCCATCACCAATGGCCGAAAGGTCCAAATGCGACAACTCCGGCTCCTTCTCAGGCTGCTGCGATGATTGGCGTCCATCTTCAACTGAATTTGCTGAGCCTCCTTTGCCTTTGCCTTTCTTGGAGCCTCCATCGAACTTACCCTTCTGGCCACTCTTACCTTTGCCCTTGCCGGTGTTGCTCCAGCAATCCTTTCCATAGTGGCCATACTTCATGCACACCCAACACTGCACGTTGTCCATCCTCTTGCTCTTAGGTGGATCTCCTTTGTTGGATGTCTTGCCTCCTCCTTTGCTCCAGCACTCTGATGCCTTGTGCCCCAACTTGCCGCAGGCATGACAGGTCATCTTGTTGGCATTGTTGCCGGCCTTGCCACCCTTTCCTTTGCCGCCCTTCATCAATGCTCCCAACTCCATAGGATCATCTTTGGGACCTTTGTTGCGGCTTGATCCAAGTTCCCTCCTACTGAGATTGAGGGAGTGCCTGGTGGTGGCATAGCTGCTCAACTTGTCAAAGAAGCTCTCGAAGTCGCTGAACTCATCTGCCCTGAGCATGAAGGTCTCCTCAAGCGACTCCGGCATCAACCTGTAAAGCCCGGCAATCAATGAATCATCCGACACAACACAAGGATTGCCTGCATTGTCTGTGAACTCCTCATATTGCTTCTTCTTGGTCAACCAATGCTCAAGCGAACTCCCCAACTCCTCAACCGACTTGCACTTGTTGGGGTTTTGAACCATGCTCAAAATTGTAACACGCCGCATTGAGCTTGTGGGGTCATACTCATTGATCAACCTCCTCCAGGCTTCAAGACTGTCGGTACCTGAATTGCGGACCACTTTGTTGGCATCACCCGTTGTAAACGATGTCAAATAGGCTCCAAGACCTTCCAACATACCATCAACATCGTCGATCTTCTCGATGTCATCTGCAGCGCTCCCGAACACATCGTTCCAAGTCACCACCTTCGTCTCTCCAAAGTGGGCCTCCTTGACGATGGTCTTGCGCTGCTTGCCAGCCCATGACAACACAACTTCAACATCTCCACCGAACTTGGCCTTGGCAAAGGTCTTGAACTTGTAGACCCATTCCGAAAAATCCTGATCACTCTTACCAGAAAATTTGAAGGGCTGTCCAACACCTTTTGTGTCAACCAACTCGCTCTTCTGCGATCCGGCCAGCCTCAAAGCAATGCTCCTTTCCTCCTCTGCTCGAGCCGCTCGACCGAACGCGTCCTGCAGCTGGTGTTGAAGCTGCATCATCTGCTGCTGATGGGACCTGGATCTGTGCCTGCAAGTCCAACAAGGGGTCCGAACTCAAACCCTGCGGGGATCCCATGCTACCTCCAGCAACTTGGTACACTTTCTCGATTTGTCCCTGGTTCTTGGGACTTCACGCTACCATGATCGAGTGATATCGATGGATCGGGCGCTCGAATGCTTCTTTTGGGCCACTATGCTGTGGGAAATTCGATCAAGCGAGCACTGATATATATATATAATATATATACCCTAGACTTCTGTTGCACCATTAAAAATTGGTTGACCTGGTTGAGCGGTGTAAAATTCTGAGTAAAGCAATGGTTGGTTTGGTGAAACCTATTAAATGGATGGTGGGCTGGCGGCCAGGAATCCTAGGGTAGACTACATATGTAGACAATACAATACAACCGTTTGAGAAACTGTGTTTCTGATCTGAAACAGATCTGTTACTCCTTCAAAAAAGAAAGTGGCTTCACTGCATAGAGGCCAGCTCCGGCTCAGAGTGGAAGGTTCGCTATGATCCCAGGTGGTTAGCCTGAGACGTTAAAGGGACCAATCCTAGACATTCGATGTCTGTCTGAAATAGTGACATACACTTACTTACCCCATGAAGATGACCCCAATGTAGGTAACTATTCCAGTCCCATTCATGACCTGGGAATGATCAATCACTGATTACAACATCAATGATTTCAATAGACTCACACTGTTGATGAGTCACTCAAATGAAGATGTGAACCATCCAGGTGATACAAAGGGTGATTCATCAACCGTCTGCGTGATCTCTTGGTCCAGTCCATTCAATGCGCCGTCCATCGTCCCGTCGACGAAAAGCTCGTCCGAGTTGGTCAGTGCGTGTGGCCGTCCGTCATCCGGACCGCTCGGACCGCTTTTGGCGTCGAAGCGGTCTGTGACCCGTCGAAGTGTCTGTTCACGTGGTGACCAAACCGTCTGACACTCCATGGGACCTACATCTTTACCCCCCCTTTTCAACCACCGTTCGGGCCGTTTCTCGGCAGTCCGACATGGCAGTCCTGAGTGTTTGGGACATGGAGATGAATCACGTGGTCACTGGTCAACTGGTTGGTCTACTGGTGCGACCTTCGCCGCGGGCCGTCCGTCCGTCGCGCCCTTTGCTCGCTTGGGGAGACAAGTTCGCGGTGCTCGGTGGTGAGGCCGTGCTGAGGCCGTGCGGCGCCGTGCGGCACGGCCCTATTCCTTGGAGCGACTCGGGTTGTCGGGTGAGCAGACTAGCATCTCTCCGATGGGACAGACGAAGCTCAGAGACCCGAAGTTCAGTGGTTTGATGGAAGGTTAAACTGAAGGGAAAACCTTCCCCGACCTGACAGGAATGACCTGACAGGAATGCCAAGCATCGCCCAAACCAGGATTCGCGCCATGCTCCAGCAGCACTTGCACCAGGTCCAACTTGCCCGCCTCAGAGGCAAAATGCAAAGCTGTGTGGCCATTGTGCGTGGCAGCATCCAAGTCAGCTCTAGCTTCCAACAAGGCCTGAGCCACTCTCAAGTGGCCCTTGTGAGCTG